CCAGGTAGGATAACAGAGCCCTCTTTTCCACTTTTTCCATGTAAGTGTTGGCCACAATGGATGAAACTGGGAAACCCATGGCACACCCATCTTTCTGCCTGTAGTACTCACCCTTGTATGTGAAATATGTGGAATGAACACAGTTCCAAGAGCAAACAAACTTGGTCAGTGCTGAGAGTCGTCCTGTTGCTGAGGTTGGGGTCATCCTGTAATCTCTTACGAACTACCGGCCTAGTTTATCCCAACCCCACCCTGTGACCACCTGGACCACTTTGAACTTAAAATGCTGGTGAGCCAGATACCACCGCATCCATGCGGTTGAGCCATTGCAGCAAGGCATGATCCGAAAAGAGGATGAAAGGGCAAGAGGTAATAACAAAGATAGTTGACTGACAGTGGATGGCCAGGCCTTCCTTCTCTACAGTGCTGTACCTGCCCCCCTGCTCTGACAGGTTTCATGCTGATGTACACCACTGGAACAAAACGCCCCCCAGCCATGTGTTTGGGGCATCAGGCTGAAGAATAAAAAAAGAGGGATAAGTTAGGCATCTGGGTTCCCCACAGAGACCCTCCTTCCCCTGCACAAACGCCGCCTGGCACTACTTCGTCCACTGGACCAGATCTGGGGCACCCTTCCAGGTGAGGTCGGTTAAGGCTCCACAAAGCCTTTATGGTGAAATAATGTTCTTTCCACTTCAGGATTATGGCTCCAACAGTGCAAATTCTTCTGTAACCTATGCCATCAGTATATTTTGCAGCAATAAGGCTGCAAATATCTTGAGGGAGCTTATTGGTTTTATGCATCAAGAGATGTTTCTTATGTGACACCTTGGTAATGAGACACCTTTTTATATCAGTTGGGACTGAACCAGCTGATATAAATGTGCACTAAGTGGCAGGGTTACTTTCTAATTTCCAATAGATGTCAGCTGGTGTCATGCCATTTCCCATCTCCCTTTCTTTGTGTGTTCAATACTTCTTTCCCGTGTGATTTCTCATTATTAAACATAACTTAGTTTATGGATATATGTGGTTTGATTTCTTTACTTGTGTGGATTGGATGGGTCTTGGATGTTTACCTAAAATATTGTGGCATGTTCAATACTTATTTTACCCACTGTATCTTTTGATAACAGCTTGCACCAATGACCCACTGGGTTTCTTTCAGGATGAAGCCAGATGTTCTGGATTTTTGACTTCAGTTGTTGCCATACTGGTTGGACTGGACTGGTTTTGGGGAGGTTGCTCTTAAAGCTACAGCATTTATAAATGAGCAGTGTGTTTGTGAACAAAAAGACACAATCACTGCTCATTACTATTCAGAATTAACCTCAGACATCACTCTGAAAAGTTTGAATGAATATAAATTTATTTGTATATCTCTTTGTCTCTTTATTTAATCAACTTGTTGCTATTCAACATAAAAGCATTTGAGAATGAAATAAACAATTCAGTCTAAAGTAGAAGATATAACGTTATTGATCATTGCTTATTCAATTAATAATTAAGTAAAAACATAGGACATCTGAACAAACCACAAAGCTTCTAAAACAATGTCCTTTGGACAGGTGAGACCAAAGTGGAGATGTTTGACTGTAATGCTCAGCACCATGTTTTGTGAAAACTAAACACAGCATATCAGCACAAAAATCTCATACCAGTTTTCACCCACGTTGGTGGAGGGGTGATGATTTGGGCTTGATTTGCAAATTTGGAGGAACTTGCCTTGAGTCTCTTCTATACTAAAATATTCTAGAGTCAAATGTGAGGCCGTCTGTCTGACAGCAAAACCTTGTCTAAAGTTGGGTCTCACAATCAAGTCAAAGTTTAAACTTGAACTTGACAGAAATGCTGTTCTGGCCTATGAAGCAATGATGTTAAGAAGAGTGGGCATACATAATAAAAACCATAACATAACATAAAAACATAATAAAACCATACAGAAAATGATTACTTCAAATTATTGCTGCTAAGGTATATGAGAAAAACAGTAACACTATCAAGAGAGACTTGATTTTTAAAAATCAAGTTTTCAATCAAGTGTTTGCCAGCTTGTGTGTTTGTTGTGTGCTGCAACAAAACAGGAAGCAACTGAAATATTCAGATTACAGCTTAGTTGATTTTCTTTGTGGAGGTAAGTTTGATCCACTTTGGTTCCTCTCCATAGTCTTCGTCCTGCAGGGAAAAGGAAAACAGAGAGGTTAAAACTATAGAAATTGTTTGAAGAGTTTGCCGCCTCGCTTGCAGCTTAATTACCCATTGGCTTCAGCTTCATCAGTTGAGTCTGGAAGCTCTTTTCTTCTGGTCTCAGGAAGCAAGAAGGCAAGAGCTCCACTGATGAGTGTAAGGCTGCTGTAGACTATGATCGGTATGGACCAGTGGTAGATGGCCAACATGTTGACTGGTGGAGATATCAGACCACCAGTTCGATACACAATAGAGCCCAAACCAGAAGCTGTTTGTCTGAAACAAGAATGTATATTTTAAGGACTAGAGAGTTTGAGAGCCACACTAACATTATGGCTGCAATGGCAAGGAGAGAGAGAGAGACTCAGCTCACCGAAAAGATGTTGGAAACAGCTCCTGAACATACACATTGCACACGGAGCCTGCCCAGTTAGTGAGAAAACGTCCACAGGTTGCTAACGCAGTAACAGCAACAGCATAACCTGAAACAGACTGACAGATTAAGGGGTTTCCACAGCTGTAAGTTTGCACTCAATGACCTTCCAAAGATGTCAGGATGGAGCTCATGATAGCTGCTTCATTATTTCCATTTTATCAGGTCTGTGTGTTGCTGCAGGAGATTCACCCCCCTCAGCAGATTTTAGTTTAGGCTTTACCACAGAGATCCACTTATGGTTTAACAGATGAATTTTGTTACTTGCAAAGTTACACCTGTATTTTACCATGATAGTTAGAAGCCCTTTAGTGTTTAGTATCGTGAGATGACTGAATGGCACTGCCATCTAAAAACAGACAATATCAGAGGAAAAAAAATAAACAAATACATATAGCTTGGACCATGTATTGATGGGCCAGCATTATTAGCTATGAGCCGATTCATAGATATCAGCATTTATAACAGCCAGTGAGTGAAAATTAAACAAGTAAAGAAGAGACACAAGAAACACCCTTCTGCCATGTTGTGGTTTAGAGGTATTTGCGGGGAATATTGACATCTCATAGACTGTCCACCAGAGAGCAACCTGCAACTTCCTTTTTGGCAACACAGGTGCTTTGTAAGCAGCTAACACAACAACCAGCTGATCTGAGCAGAGTCGGGACAGACCAAACAAAACAACAAAACAACAGTCCTGAGTGAATACATCTGAGGAGCTCTACCTTGAGGAACCGCTAGCATTAAGAGACACAACAATCCTCCAATTAGAAGTGTTGCCATGAGAGATGGTTTTCTTCCCACTGCTTCCAGCAGCCAGATGCTCAAAATATGAGCTGGTATTTCAGACAGGCCAAATACTGCCTGAGTCACGAAGATGTTCAAGCCAAGTTTTCCCACACTGAATGAAAGGCAGAAGTAGGCAACATTCAGCGAGAACCTGGGGAAAGACAGAGATGGATTTCAAATACAAGTTGCACAACTTGATCTGACAATTAAAGGCTCGGTAGAGCAGATAGGTGTAAAATATAACTTACCATGCCAATGTTATGGTAAAGAAATATTTCCTAAGCACAGCTGATTGGATAAGAGTTTTTATGCCTCCCTTTTTCTCTGGGTCTTTCACAATAATCTGTAATGCACAGGGGTGAGCACAACATCATGCTAACATTGCTCATGTTAGCAATCATTTAATCCTACAGCCTTACAAATGTAAGTCTGACTTACTGCATCACAGTCCATTAAATTATTATCCTTCTAATGCAACTTTGGCCTCAGAAGTTGACACGGTGTCCTTGTGGTTCTAGTAGGCTTACTTTATTAAAGTCCATCATTACCCATCATTTGCTCATTATACTGCTAATATTTTATTACATAGCAGCTTTTATTATTGCTGCATGTAATATTCCTTTCAAGCCTCGATACAAAGGGAAGTGAATGTTGTGAAGGGTACCTGGTCCAGCAGATAGTTTGGAACCGTGCGCTTGTTGATGGCTGCAGCTTTTTTGATTAGCTGTTTAGCCTCCGTTGTCCTTCCAGTGCCCAGCAACCACCTGGCTGACTCCGGGATAAACCTGTCCAAAACAGGCCAGTGGCACTTAATAAATTCAAATGTACCAGTCATAAGGGATGGCATAATGAGAGAGTTAATGCACACCATATATAAATAGCAACCAATGCAAGTGGAGCTGCCGTGATCAGCTGAGCCAGTCTCCAGTTTCGTACAAAGTAGATCATTCCAGCGAGGAGGCACTGTCCAACTGCACCACATAGCTGAGTCACACATGCCCCCCATGAACGATTGGACACCCCGATCCATTCAGTGGCTATAACATTTTTTTATTTTATTTTTTTTTAAAAAGGTCGAAAGACAATGTTGACAGGAATTACAGAGCCCTGAATGCAGACAAAAGGTAAAATGCTGTCAAATAATGTTCTAAAAAATCATTAATTGAAAAAAGAATGAATAACAAATTATTACCAGTACTATAGAGCTCGAGTCAGAAAACAACTTTTAAACCGATAAAAAGGGACCATATAAGAAACATATAAAAAATAAAAATAAAAATATAAAAAACATCAGTACAGTTTAAAAAGAGGGAAGTATAATAAATTAATAAATATAAAGTCAGTGATACATTTTTTTTAAACAATTCATTTATCAATTAACCATTCAATTATTGCACAAGAGAAATGTTGACTGCACTTATGTCCCCCAATGACTAATATATTACTTGAAAGTTTGGAGATGATCAAATGGAAGCTGAAGCTTTTTCCTAATTTGTATGACCCCGACCTTTGACCTATGACCTTGAAGCATTACATACTAAAATGGTGTATTTTATTATCTTTATCAGTACTGATGGAGAAGAACTGACTGAAACATATGGTTTCTACAGGCTGTAAAAACCTGAGATTTTACAACTCTCTCTATGCCCTTTCATATGATCTATTACTCAATATGTTTGTTTGTTTTTTTCAAGGTCAACTTTCACCGTGCGCAGTAACAATGAAGACCTCCCCAAAATTAATCAGAAGTCAGCAAATTTTCTGTTTCAATTTTTAGTGAGGAAAAATGTTTTTTATCTGTTATCGTATACTACTTTTATAACATGCACTGATAACAACGTTTAATTCAGACATATTTAAGACAATTACCAACTCAAATTGCTTCCAAAGCTGGTGTTTTGCAACCAGGGAGCTTCTCAACTACCTGCTATGACATAACCTTTTCATACTGAATATAAGCATTATAAATATTTTTTTTCTTAAACATGTATTGCTATCAAACAACAGCTAAGATATAAGTCTGTGAGTTTCAATATAAATTCAGACTTATATACCTGTTTGACACAACGTACGATAAGAAAGGGATAATACTTTACCCAGGATAACGCCATTAAGTCGATATCCCCCATAGCAAACTCCCACCATGAACTGGGATGCCAGATAAAAGTAGAAGTTAGGAGATAATCCAGTTGTGACAGTAAATATCACCATTACAACAGCTGGGATTTGACATGCTCTTTTTCGACCAAACCTGCAACAGATAAGATCCCTTAAGTCACTTTGTCTCCTCTGGACAAATTAAATATTTAGTTGATGTTTCACATTAAGTGACAAAAATATCACAAATGCACCAAAAAATAAATAAATAAAAAAATCCAAACGTTAACACTACAAGTATTTACTTACGACTCTGCAAAAGGTCCAAATAAGAGACAGCCAACAAGGATGCCAGCCATTAGGACAGTTTGTGCTGTCTCCAACAAACTAGCCCGGTCACAGACTAGATCAAACTGGGGAGAAAAATAACCCACATTACTGACATTCATTCATAAAAGTTCACATTATTTACATTATAAAAGACCAAGACCTACATCAGTGACTATGGTGGCTTCATACAGCATGTTCCCATACACCCATCCACTCTGGCACCTTGTAGTCTCATTGAGCCCGTACTCCCTGATGGCACCGATGTCCCAGTCCACTGGGACGAACATCCGACATCTACTGAAGGTCCCATCGTCTTCCCGAGGCACGGTCAGGTTAAGCTGCTCCTCTGTGGTCAGGTTAGGAGCAGCATTGAGTATCCAGTCTGTGTTGCAGCGTCTGTCTGGATCTGACTGGATAAAAAGTACACTGGCAAAGTGGAAAGGCAGAATAACATTAGGGAAGCTGAGAGCAAAAAGGGTGATCTTCTGAAATAACCCAAACTCCCCCATACTCCGCAGAATCTCCCCGAAATCAGCCATTTTCTGGGCGCCTTCTTTCACTTTAGAGATGCTGGCCGACGACGACCTTTAAACAGTGCCTATTAATGTTTAAACCCCAGATCATGTATTTCAGGAAGGATGAGACAGCATTTCACCAGACATTTAATTTTATAGAGAAAACTCCTCTCACTGATGGAGATGATAGTTTAACCTGACATGAGCCTTTTGTTCATTTCACTTTGTTTAATTAGTTTCCTCTGAGTGTGGTCACCAAAAACCTTCAGCAATTACAAGAGCTTTGGCAATGTGGCAAATTTCAATAACAGACACGATCCCGACGCCTTAATTCAGTTTAATTTGCTATTTCCAACAATCCAATTCAATTCCATTCAAATTTATTTATATAGAGCCAATTTACAACAATAGTCGCTTCAAGGTGCTGTATGTTGTAGGGAAAGACCCTGCGAGTTAGAAACATAAGTGACAGTGCAGTATATAACTTACAGTAAGACACCTTGCAGATAGCTTAATAGATCATCCGCTAAGTTTTATAATACTCCTTCTTATAAAACCTGACCCAGTGCTCTTACATAACAAAACAAGCAGATGTGTTATGTAAGGTGGAGATGCTGTAAAAGTTATTGTACACTCGATAATAAAATGGTCTTATCATGCTGTGGTCTGCAGAAACATTAAAAAGATCATTGAGCAATAAAAGTTTGCTTCTTTCTTCTTTTTAAAATGCATTTTTTTGTCTTATTCAGTCTCATCTCCATCTCTTTTGACTGTCCTTCCTTTTAATTTGATGTAGAAAACAACAGAAGAAGCTAAAGATACAGAAACAGATCCAGTCTAAACATGGGTCAAGGTATACCAAGGCACACAACACAGATGTAAAAGATAAAAGACCAGTTATATAGATAACAGATCAATGCATGCATGACTACAGTATATATATGTGACTGTCTGGCTTTTATTGAAGGATACATATACGTACAGTAAATCAAAAACCTGCCATTTTTATGTGAACCTGTAAAAAAAATCAATCTTTTTAAATCTAAAACTATTTAAAAAGTTATGACATGTACAAAAAGGAGGACCTTGCACTGTTGTTGGCAATTAAATGCAAACATATTTAGCGGCACTAATCTATACACCAGATCACACTTCCTTTGAAGTGCTGTTTGAGGAACACACAGATGGATCCGTTCAAATAAATCAAACTTCAGCCACTGTTCCAAACCCTGGGAAGAATCTAGGACACACTTCCTTTATAGAAAGGATAACACTGGCTGTTAGCTAGCCCTTCCACAGGAAAAAAATATACATCTAACTGCACATTTAAAACACAGAGATAACTGCTGAATATAAAACTCAGCAGACTACATCAGTCCACATGTAAATGTGTAACTTCCATGGTAAATATAGCAGTGACAGCCCATTTAAAGTATTATTGGCTTGTTTACCACCTGATAAGAAGCTGTCAAAGGGCTCCTGGAGGTAACAACTCACATTTCTAAAACTGAAAATATTTTCAGTAGGAAAACGCATTAAATGCAGACATTGTTGATGATTTTAAAGGAACATTTGTTCTACACTTGCTTTGGGTATCACACTTTTGCATAAAGAAATTAACGGATAAAGAAAAGTTGGGATAACTGAACACATTTATCTGTCTTTGACTGGCATCCCTCTGAGCCACTTATCTACCAACACTCATTTTTTACTATTAGGAAATGGCTGCTACCTCAGGACAGCAGCACACTGGTACTGATTGTAGTTTCTCTGGGTAATGTATGATTTTTATTCGTTTCTTCATGAGACCAGTTTCTAGAAACACCTGCAGTCAGGAAACAATTACTCAAAGAATCATTTATGAAACTCTTAAGTGTTGAAATTTTTCTAGTTCCAAGTTAGAAACGACAAAAACACCTAAAAACAAAAACAACAACAAAACAGCTTTTTAACGAGTTTGGGTTTTGTTTGTTTATGTAAT